TGTGAATAATCTTTCCCAGTTCAAAACCCTTCTTTCTTGAGACATCCTATCAGCCTACAAGCATGTAGATTCAAAACATTAAAACTACATATTGTATGATTACTAAATTAAGTCTTATTATACATTAATCATGTAATTATAACATGAACTCGTAAAATCATATTTAGCGCACATTTTGGATTCAATACAACTACTAAATTGAATCTTATTATAGATTAATCATGTAATTATTATAATATGAACTTGTAAAATCATATTTAGCGCAAATTTTGGATTCAATACAACTACATTTAATATCAATAAACATTTTTTAATAACATTAATTAATTTGGCATTAATCATGCTGCATTACCTGTATTCCAACCAACACTAGTTTCTGCAAGGCCACATTTAACTGTCTTTGTTTACTAATGACAAAAAAGAAATTGGTTATCCACATTGTAGCAATAGGAGTGTTTACATTTGGTTTTGCTTTAATCTCCTATAACTCAATTATAATTGTTATACATGTAGTTTGTACTTTTCATAATCTTCATGAAGTTTCTTCAAAGCAGCACTCTTAGATTCCCARGGGGCTGAGTACAGTTTTACWAGTCTRACTAGTTCATTTACTGGTACTGCCATGTCAGAAGTCCTAAGCAACATCAAAAAAATTATCAATATCAGAAGCAACTACAATGCACAAATAAATGCACTGTACATGAACACAGGTCAGTGAACCACAAAAACACAAAGTCCCAGCGTTGAATGCTGATAAAGTGCTGGACTTACCCTCTGAACAACTTGGATGTGACAAGTGCAATTTTCACAAGCAAACTTGGTGGAAGRGCATGCTAAAAATTATAGTAAGTATTTTGTTGATTTTTGTGTTTTTTTTCTTCTTATTAATACATTCAAAAACAAATTAAAATACCTTCAATAATTCATCTTTCAAAGCAAGCAATTCAACCATTGATACTTGAAACAGTGCAAGTTGATTCTGCACACCTTCGCATAATGTTCTGAACTTGGCTGTTTCTTCTTCACCCACTGCTTGGGTTTTCTACAAAAATGAAGTGTTTATCATTTGAAAGATATTTGTCGAAGTTTGAATTTTGTCCAGGCAAAGACTTTTATTCTACTTCAYGGAATTCATCATCTTTGATGGCTTTACAAAACAAACAATTGCAAAGGTCYTTAGATGCATGTGGTCCTGTAGCATTGAATTTTGAGCCTACTCAGCTGACAGAGTCTCTCTTGTCATTCCTAGAACGTAATTCATGATTTCTAATTGGGAACTGCAACGAGAGAGACAATGCCAGCAAGGAAATAAAACTGGGATGAACAAGACTGCAGGGCAGTTGCCTACCTCAATAAACAATCAGAACATCTTGACAATCAATTTGATTATGYATTGTATTTTACCTCATTGTTTATGCTACCACCGGAATCTTTGTGTTCAATCATGGGTTTCTCTGCATTTTCTGTAACAGTATCAAGTGATCTTGCAACCTTCTTTAATATACCACCTAAAACAATATAAGTTGCATTTCTGTGTCTAAATACTATAAGCTTCTAAGTTGCATGTTCACATTAATTATTAAAGTCTACATGAAATAACTTATAATTGAATTTGTACATGAAAATAAACAATGATACAAAGTCAATTCAGAAAAACTGAATTGTTATCTGCCTCATCTGGTTCGTCTTTGAGAAAAYGAGTACAAAAATGAAACTTTAAACYGTAACTAAATGCAYTAAAGAAAGTAAATAAAACTTTACAGTAAAGATCAAGAGATTTAAACTTTAAGTTATAGTATAAGCTGTAAAGACATAAAACAAATATTCTCAATAACGGACATAATAATAATAATAATAATAATAAGTGTTCTGATTGAACATTAGAATATTCAGAACAAATCGAAATTTCTTTACGATGAATTAGAAGGTAGACGTCTTTACAAATCTTACCTGTTGAACCAACTGCTTTGCTGTTGACTTTGGCAAGACTCGTCGCTGGCGTAAACTTTTCAACCATTATTTCTCTTAAATACCGGAATTCCACACAATATTGTAAATATTTTGGTTTCTTATAAGCTAAAGCCCACTTCTAYCCATCACTCAGTTGGATACGTAGAGTAATTATTYAGTATTTCCGTACTTTTCTTTTCGGTTGTGACTTAAAAGTCAATTTTCGCCGCCATTGCTCTTTTGCTGACAATTTGCCATAGCAACCTGAAGTGTTTTGATAACACAGGTAGTCCATAAGCTCAGCCACAGGGAGCCCAAGTAACAACAGACCATTCCATTTTATTTCATTAGTATCAAAATTACTGTATACAATCAATTATATTTTACTTTTTTTATTTTGAAAAGAAAATTTAGATAACGTACTGACTTTTTAGCAGAMTAATTTGTTATGGCGACTCAGGACTTGTTGTGAATACGATTATTTGGTCCAGATTGTTCTATTCTGCTTCCGGAAACTGACAGGTACATGTGGACGTTCGGACGTGTTAATCGAAAATATAAACTTGCTTATACACTAATCGGCGTACAACGTGTTGACGCGGCCCAGCGGTGCACTACATCAGTTGATTCTAGTGATCGGGTGTTTCTTTTTTACTTATATAAAAATCCTTTGTATGCATGCATCAGTCCAATAAAACCTCTGTCCCCATCCACCAGGAATCAATGTTTAAATCAAATGATGGATCTGTGTTTTCAGGGTTCCTTCAATAGCCGGAAAAAGTAGTCGTGACATTTTGTTGAAATGTTAACCCCAGTTAACAGTTATATTTAACTATAAGTAAGATATAGTACATGTGCTACAATCTCGGTAAAGTTAGCATAGATAATGCTATT